GTTCTGATTTATTCTTGTTGATTTATTTTTGCTCAAGCCATGTCTGCCTTCCTAGCCAGTTTATCTTCAGTGTGCTGAATCCATATTCACCGAGGTCGGCCTTTGCATCGTGTTACTGAATCCGCACCCTCCATTGCCAGTCTCTCCAGACCAGCATGGCGCTTGACATGTCCAAAATTCCACAGCTCTCGGAAGAGGATGCTGTTTATGAGTCAGTTCTTCTCGAAGTTCAAGTCATGTGGGATATCGACTTGTTTCTTCTTCTTGGTCCATGTAGAGACATAAATAGCAAATGGAACATGAGAACCCTCTTGCCAGCTCTACTATCTCGCACTCTTTGAAAAAAAAATTTTTTTTTTAATTTCCCTATCCAGATGTGCATTATGTGGTAAAAGCCTCTCAAAGAAGAGAATCAAGCAGCTATAAGTCCGGAAACCCCGTTCAACCGTACAGCTAGCTATATAGCACATTATAGCTATGTAGCACATGTATAGCTATAGAGCACAGTTATTTTATGGCACCACAAAACGATCACGAACCAGACTGTAACACAGTGGGGCTGGGCTGATACCGAGACGTCAACTTGCCTGCTCAATTCCTCGCTTATCTCTGGCTCCTTTGTTCGCGCTAGTCGGTCCCTGCCTGTTCTTCTCATTACCACACACTCCGCTATTGTTCTTCTCATTACCACACACTCCGCTACTGTTCTTCTCATTACCACACACTCCGCTACGGTTCTTCTTATTACCACACAATTCGCTACTGTTCTTCCAATTACCACACACTCCGCTATTGTTCTTCTCATTACCACACACTCCGCTATTGTTCTTCTCATTACCACACACTTCGCTCCTGTTCTTCCCATTACCACACACTCCGCTATTGTTCTTCTCATTACCACACACTTCGCTACTGTTCTTCACATTACCACACACACCGCTATTGTTCTTCTGATTACCACACACTCGGCTACTGTTCTTACTATTACAACGCACTCCGCTACTGTTCTTCTCATTACCACACACTCCGCTTTTGTTCTTCTCATTACCACACACTCCGCTTTTGTTCTTCTCATTACCACACACTCCGCTTTTGTTCTTCTCATTACCACACACTCTGTTACTGTTCTTCCCATTCCACATAAAAATACACCCGCGCATGTATACTCAGTGATTCAATGATTATGATCCGGAGGGTTCAGGCAGGTTCGGTGCGAAGACAATGGCTTGAATCATTACAGAAGTCCACTGTGCGTGGAGTCACCTTTATTTTTGTTACGGAATTCGCAGGCGTCGATGGAGATGAAAGAGCTGACAGGTTGGCTGGATCCGCTATCACTACCGACGGTCAGCCTATGGATCATGCTGATATTATTAATGCCCTCAGAGAAATGGGAAGGATAGAGGACTTTGGTGGTAGTGAATCCACATCACTCGCCAGAATGGCGGACTTGGAAATTAAGATCGGCATAGCAAAAAACAAGACGCACACCGGACACGTCAGAAGACTTGTTAATCAACATAGAACTGTTACTATTAGCTATCGGACGTAGGGGGTTCATACTGAGGGGAGGATCTGAGCACATGTCCGGAGTGCAATGATGATAACCAACTAACTAACTGACTAACTATCTTCCCATTCCTCGGTAAGACTGTAGCTCTATATGAGAACGATATATTTATGATGGAGGCTGTCTAAAACTGCAAAAACCAGACAAAGCATAGTATCTCCTTCGACCCTAGAAGCCGTAAAATAGAAAGTGAACAAGAAATATTCTATGAGACTCAGTGTCCAGCGCGCTGTCAGAGAGGATGTCATCTTTTCTTTTTAGATCTACAATCAATTTTGAAATGAACAAAGTTTGCTAAACAATATATATTTAAGCACCTCAGCCATGTAATCGCAATCATTTTTTAAGACTGTGCTCTCTTGGTAATGAAGTCTCTAGATGCTATACCCATAAACTGATATCTTTGAGAGTGTTAGATGGCGAGATCTCACACAGTGCCACAAGTTACCTGGCGAGTACCCATATCGTTCCCAGTGTCACAAGCTACCTGGCGAGATCCCATATCGCATCCACAGTGCCACACTTTACCTGGCGAGAACCCATATCGCTCCCACTGTGTCACAAGCTACCTGGGAAGCGCATATCGCTCCCACAGTGCCACAAATTACCTGGCGAGAACCCATATCGCTCCCACAGTGCCACAAGCTACCTGGCGAGAACCCATATCGCTCCCACAGTGCCAAACTTTACCTGGCGAGAACCTATATCGCTTCCACAGTACCACAAGCTACCTGGGAAGCGCATATCGCACCCACAGTGTCACACTTTACCTGGCGAGAACCCATATCGCTTTCACACTGTCACAAGCTACCTGGCGGGAACCCATATCGCTTTCACAATGTCACAAGCTACCTGACGAGAACCCATATCGTTCCCACAGTGCCACAAGTAACACAACGAGATCCCATATCGTTCCCACAGTGCCACAAGTTACCTGGCGATAACCCATATCGCTCCCACAGTGCCACAAGTTACCTGGCGAGAACCCATATCGCTCCCACAGTGCCACAAGTTACCTGGCGAGAACCCATATCGCTCCCACAGTGCCACAAGTTACCTGGCGAGAACCCATATCGCTCCCACAGTGCCACAAGATACCTGGCGAGATCCCATATCGCACCCACAGTGCCACACTTTACCTGGCGAGAACCTATATCGTCCCCAAAGTGTCACAAGTTACCTGGCGAGAACCCATATCGCTTTTACAATGTCACAAGCTACCTGGGGCGCGCATATCGCTCCCTCAGTGCCACAAGCTACCTGGCGAGAACCCATATCGTTACCACAGTGCTACAAGTTACATGGCGAGATCCCATTTCGTTCCCACAGTGCCTCAAGTTACCTGGCGAGATCTCATATCGTTTCCACAGTGCCACAAGTTACCTGGTTAGATCTCATATCGTTTCCACAGTGCCACAAGTTACCTGGCAAGATCTCATATCGTTTTCACAGTGCCACAAGTTACCTGGCAAGATCTCCTATCGTTTTCACAGTGCCACAAGTTACCTGGTGAGATCTCATATCGTTTTCACAGTGCCACAAGTTACCTGGCGAGAACCCAAATCCATATCGCTCCCACGGTGCCACACTTTACCTGGCGAGAACCCATATCGCTCCCACGGTGCCACAAGCTACCTGGCGAGAACCCATATCGCTTCCACAGTGCCACAAGCTGCCACAAATTACCTGGCGAGAACCCATATCGCTCCCACAGTGCCACAAGCTACCTGGCGAGATCCCATATCGGTCCAACAGTGCCACACTTTACCTGGCAAGAACATATATCGCTCCCACAGTGCCACAAGCTACCTGGCGAGAACCCATATCGTCCCCAAAGTGTCACAAGTTACCTGGCGAAAACCCATATCGCTCCCACAGTGCCACAAGCTAGCTGGCGAGAACCCATATCGTCCTGGCGAAAACCCATATCGCTCCCACAGTGCCACAAAGTGTCGAAACCCATATCGCTCCCACAGTGCCACAAGCTAGCTGGCGAGAACCCATATCGTCCCCAAAGTGTCACAAGTTACCTGGCGAGAACCCATATCGCTCCCACAGTGCCACAAGTTACCTGGCGAGAACCCATATCGCTCCCACAGTGCCACACTTTACCTGGCGTTACCTGGCGAGAACCCATATCGTCACAAGCTACCTGTATCGCGTGCTACAAGTTACGCATATCGGCGAGAACATCGTGCCACAAGTTACCTGGCGAGAACCCATATCGTTCCCACAGTGCCACACGTTACCTGGCGAGAACCCATATCGTTACCACAGTGCCACACGTTACCTGGCAAGAACCCATATCGTTGTAAACACCTGCTAGAGACCCCAATTGTTACACGGCGAGATCCCATATCGTTCCCACAGCCACAGTGCCACAAGTTACCTGGCGAGAACCCATATTGTTCCCACAGTGCCACAACTTACCTGAAGAGACCCCATATCGTTCCCACAGCGCCACAACTTGCTTGAAGAGACCCTATATCGTTCCCACAGTGCCACAACTTACCTGAAGAGACCCCATATTGTTCCCACAGTGCCACAACTTACCTGAAGAGACCCTATATCGTTCCCACAGTGCGACAAGCTACCTGGTGAGATCCCATGTCGTTCCGACAGTGCCACAACTTACCTGAGAGAGATCCAATATCGTGTCCACAAAGTGATTTTCCCACCATCGTCCAAAAAGGGTGAGATTGTAGTTCTTTCTTGGAAATTAAACATCTGCTACGTCTAGAATTCTGAAATGCGTTGAAACACAAATCATTTACCTGCGTAGCCGCACAAACGTAAAAAAGTGACTACTGGCTGGTTTTTATGTTATCGGTGGAAATGGTTTTTTTTTTTTTTTTCACTTTAGACTATTAAATGCAAACGTTTGTAGACCACAAGGGGTGGACGCCTTAAGCGAGTCGTACCAGCACTGCGTGACGTCGACTACAGGTGGTCACAGCAACAGTTGCAAGAAATCCAAAATGAGACTTTCTGCATTGTCTTTTTCAGCGTAGCTAACCTCTTAACAGAGGCCGACTCTCCGATCAGCGAAACACATGCCTACAGAGCTCTCCTTCGAATGATAACTAGAGGTTTTGACAGGGACGCTGGCTGGTACAGCTACTCTTTCAACTACAAAAACTTGACAGCAAAGTAAGCTTCAACATTCAAACATATATATATATGTCTGTCCATCTATACTACTTCATAATGCTGAGGTACCCTCTTGAAATCCAGCTGCGGGTTATATGACAGCAGATCAATTTACACTAATTCCTACTGTGGTATTGAGAGTGTGTAGTGTGTGTGTATGCTGGTGAGTGTCTGTGTGTGTGTTTAGGTTTAAACAACCGATCAACAACATGGCACAACAATAGTGACCCATAAGCGCTCCGTTTTTACGTTCTAACTGACGTCTGAGTCTTAATAATAT